ACGCCCATACAACAGTTCCTCGATCATTTCGTCCTCTGTTCTTTCCAATTGGTCTTCAGCACTCAGACTTTCACCTGCTGGAGACTTCTACTTGGCCGAGTGTCGTGTGGACACAACAAAGGTAAAACAATTTAGGCACAGAGTGCAAACTGGGCTTGCTCACAGCGGTGGGACTTGGTGAGTGACGGACCTGGTTTGCCAACGGGTAGAGTGAGAACTTTGTGAATCCTGAATATTATAAATATTACATGAGAACGACGATAATATCCACGGTTGACAACTTTTATAACGTTTTTCGCCGTATTTCGAAAGAGTTGTACAGAATCCATTTCTACTTGCTCTATAATACAGTATTCAGAGTGGGTGGTGGTTTCCCTCTCTAAGACGCGTTGAGACCACCAAGTTCCACGATCACCGCGAAGGCTTAGTTTGAATTGATGGCTGATAGCATAGCGAAGTTCATTCTGATCTGAGTTATGTGGGAGAGTTGGGCGGCGGTCGAGCAATGTCAGGGAGCGTGTGGAGATCCAACTCTTTAAGTGACAATAAGTGAGTGAATCCACCGAGTGATTGGCCAGTGGATAGCATCATATCCTGCATAAACTCCCAATGCAGTTGGACGTCAGTGTGAGGAGCACAAACCAAGATGTTTTCCAGTGACAATTGTTAGTTCAGCTGAGTCGACGGATCGGTTGTTAGCCTGTTCTTATCAAGGTCACAATGCTTACGTTTGGGAGGACCCCCCGAAGTCCATGCAAATGTTTGCACAGACCACTGCATGGTCTGAATCAGGGCTTGTAAACCAAAATGATCTATTGCCTTGTATGCTAACTCGACACCTGAAACTGATTGCGATGTGGTCTATTTGAGGCCAAGCCTGCATTAGTAAAGGAGGGCGCCAGGTGGCAGAGTGGCTCCTCAAATGTCTGGAATTGGCGTTTGCGAGAAATGAACAATTATCGTCACACCAAATGAGTAGCCTGATTCCGTTATCGGAGCGGTTCTCGTGCAGTGCGTGATGATCACCCAGGTGATATTCACCTGGTAGCAGGCGACCGATACGTGCATTGAAGTCCCCGGCGATGACGACGATGTCCGATATGGTGGCTTTTCGCAGAAATCGTCCTTGTTCGATTTAAAGCTACTGTCGGTTGGCGCATAGGCGGAGGCCATGAACAGATTGCGCCATTCATCGCGGCGCCTGTTAACTCTACATTAACCTTGAAACTGAACTGCAAGTAATCGGTTGTTGGCTGAAAACTAGTCCAGTAATGCGGCCTCGGTTTCGCTACTTAACCCATTTTTTTGCTGTCGTCCTTATTTAAAGACACTTGCTAAAATGTGATTTAAGGCATTGAAATAGGCTATTGTTTACAATTTCTTTGGTTGCAATGTTAGATAACACATTACTACGCACTGGCTTGAAATTATTATAGCCAATACAAATTTATTTTTGAAAACATATTTGCTCTACTTATGTGATCAAAAATTATAGAAACAATGGAAAATCCGAATTGGTACGTACGCATTAACTAATTATTTATGCAGGTACCAAATTTTTTGCTGTATTTATATACAGTTACATGTTTAGATTGCGTTTTTACATATACACATACACACATACACATAAATGTGTCATAGCTGTTGCATCCATGTGCTTCAATCACATCTCCTTTTTTAAGGACGACAGCAACAAATTTTACCTTGACATGTAGCTTGGGATAACTTCCTTGTTCGCAACATGCGTGAATATATCCACATTACTTTAGATATTCCGATATGTTCAGGATGCATTATTGTAGTATGAATCATCCCTAATCTTAATAACACGTATATTTCTTTTAATGTCATTTTTTAATGTAAGGAAACTTTATCACAAATACTTAACTCTGTCTTTAACAGGGATCTTAGACTGTATTCGTTGCAAGACGTTATCACCATGCTAGAAGAAGCTGACAGTGTCCTGGAAGCCAACATTTACATTACGCCTCCGAGTGGTGAACAAAACTCTGATGAAGATGACATCAATGACGCGATTCACGACGCTGATTCTCTTAATGATCTGTCACTGAGGCTGAGGCTCCCTTAGGATTGCCTCATGGATCAGTAATTGCAGTCAACATGGGGGGCGAACCATCCGACGGGAAAGTAACAAGTATCAATAAAAGTTTACAAAAGAAAGATGCTGATCTTATGATTGTTTCTCCAGTTCAAACTCAGAAGGAGAGCAGACCTACACCATGAAGGAAAGGAGACTGGTGTCTGATACCCCAGACAAAGACAATGGTCTGCATCTGCACTTGATTCCTTAGAGTAGGAACTCACACCGTTTAAGTCATGTGAACGCTTCTTTGCTGACTCTTTTATGAACCACATGATAAGGCGGACAATTGAATATGCCTGTCCAAAAAGTGATCACTCATTCAGTATAACCACAACTGAAATGCGTGCTTTTCTAGCCATTCTGTTTGTCTCTGGCTATAATTCATTACCAGGAAGGCACATGTATTGGGATTCTGAACAAGATATTTACAGTGCATCAATCAGTAATACAGACTTGCCACGATCATGGTGTATCTTTATCTTTCAAACAACAACAATCCCCAAGCAGATGACAAATTTGTAACAGTTCGACCACGGTATGATCTTCCCAATGAAAGATTTGTGATTTTCTTCCCCATGGAAGAAAATCTGTGCGTGAATGAAAGTTTGATGCCATATTACGGGCGTCATAGACTGAAGCAGTGGATCAGGGAAAATCCTCTTAGATTCGGGTATAAACATTGGGTCATTGCAGCACCTGTAGCCTATGCTGCCTATCTGAATCTCTACCAAAAACTCAGGCCAAATATGACAAGGCATTAGGCTTGGGATATGGCATTGGTATGAGCCTAGTGGATAAGCTACCGAAGCGGCAGCTCTATCACGTCTTCTTTCACAATTTCTTAACAGGCTTGCCGCTCATGAGAGCCTTAACCGATATAGACATCAGAGCAACGAGGACAGTTAGAGCAAACAGGCCGGATAACTGCCCCATTGACACGAATTCCTTGGGAAAACTAAACAGGGGTACTTATGACCACTGGTTTGACAGGCGAGATCATGTGTTCGTTTTGCCTTGAAATGATAGTTCCGTTGTGACTCTTGTCAGTAACTCTGTTGGTGTAAATCCTCTAACAAAAGTAAAGTGGTGGTCGGCGAAGGACAAAGAACATACTTATTAGACATCCTTGTATCGTTACCAAGTATAACACTTCTGTGGGAGGAGCAGACCGAGTGAACCAAACTGTCGGTCAGTATAGAACCAGTTTTCGCAACAAACAGTGGTGGTTGTCGCTAGTCACTTTTCTCCTTGATGCTGAAATGAATAATGCTTGACTTTTTTACGAAAAATCACCCGCAAATGTGCAAGAGCAACATGGCATGCTTTCCTTTAAACGCGCTGTCGGGAAAGTCTGCTTGCAGTTGTGTGTGTAGCAGAAATAAATGCCTCACAGAATATTCTCACACCCCGCAGCAAATGTCAAAATGTTGAAGACAAAATCAGGAACTCTTGCTCTGGACCCAAATTGGAATTCATGCCAACATAAAGCAGAAGCGGTCGCTGTGGGAAGAAGGCTAATCAGCTCTGTCCAGTGTGTGATATGCCATTACACGGGGCCTACTCTCCAGCATACTACGCATGAACTATTTAACACCTAATCCGTGTACATTTGCGCTGCATAAACTTTTTATATTGAGCAACTACCTGTTATATCTTTGAACAAAATAATGATCACTGTCACTGCAAATCCGCGAACCACTGTGTACTCGCTTAGAAAATGCGGTTTCCTGTTTTGCTTTTGAAATCTCATAGCACGGTATCATTTGTTGCCGACGTCCTTAAAAACGGATAGTTCGAAAAATCTTCATTTTTTCCACAATATTCCAGATTTTTTAAATCCATACCTCATGTGAGTGATTTTTCACTATTTCCTATAATAGGAAATTTAAGACCTCAGCAGAAAATGGTTTAATGCCACACCAACGCCAGCCAAACTAGCTGCAGCCGCTTCTGCGTCGCCAGGAAGATCTAAATGGTTTGTGCCTCCCTGTTTATTCGAGGAAGTCAACTTGGGCAGTGTTCTAGTCTTGCAGCCGAGTTTTGGAAAAGTGGCATAGAACAATAGCGAGCGAGTCCAGAATGCACGCTAGACCGGCCTGGTGTCCAGTCTGCATGATAGTTCGATGATTGAACGTTGCCAGCCGAAACGAGAATCGGGGTCGAAGCATTACCTCAGGTTGGACTTTGTTGGCAGCATCGAAATCATTGTAGGGATTTAATCGAGAATAACACGGAGTACTAACTGATAAATAGTTGACATGTGATGGAGATTGGTGAGATACAGACGAGAGTGTGCGACGAAGTATTTGTGTGTTCCATGGTTTTCGAAGAGGCACGATGCTTTCCGGTTGCCGATCCCGAAGTAAGGAGTTGTCTGGGAGGACTCCACCCCAAGTCTTTAGCTCGTCACCCAACCCGCAAGGCAGCGGAGCGAAATCAAGGTACCGGTGACAGATTTCTCGATTCATACGCCTTCCCTTTTGTAAAGCACCAAACGGGGCCCAAATCTCCTTATAATTTCAACATAAGACTGATAAAATACGATGCTCCACCGGGATGAAGCAAGGACCATTGACTTTATCTAGTGGTGATCATATCCACAACGTCGTATTGTGGCTTTTTATAGGGCGAACGCTTGTTAGGCGAAAACCCACCACTTCCTGGGTCACTTCCGCCGAGCCATTAGCTGGAACGGAGTGAACCCGAACCACCCAGCTGGCACCACGAGGAAATTGTTCGGCTAGCTAGCTACCGTCCTATTACTTCCTTCGATGCATCCATATATTTTTTAATTTTTCCGTTCATTTGAATGACTTCCGTGCATAAGCTTCTCTTCACCTTCCCATGTCCTTATCTAATTTGTACAATTTACCTTTCTATCCATTCCCTTCTTTAGCTGGACCCGGTCATAAACATAGTGTCGCTGGCCTACTTCCCCTTGTGGAGCACCGCATCCGGACCGCGAATTCATCAATTTCAAAAGCCCGGACGCGCGAGTCAGAGACACTTTCCATCGTACATCGATTGGACCGAGGTTCCACCGGTCTCATGTTGATTGCCAGGTAGGATACATCACAGCACTCAGTGCAATAAAGTGCACTAGATAGATTATATCTTTTATAGCTTTGGAATGTAGGGTTTTTTTTATTCTCCACGGTGGGCGATTTACATGGCTTTTGCACCCGACTATCTTCTTTTGTTTCTTGATATACCGACAGCACATCCCGACTCTGTAGGTTCAGTACAGCTGCTTAACCGAGATCCGAGAATCCAACTGTAATGGATTCAGCTGTCCTTATTCTCATCTGTCGTGTACCCCCCGAAGAGTCAAAGCGTAGCCTGGGCAACGATCAGTATATGTTATTGGTAACGCAAGGTATCGTTTATACTATAATAATGATAATGGTTATATTTCTCATCAAGTGAGAAGCTGCGTCCATCTTTGGCACGTGCTCATGCATGAGCAATATGAACTTTTGGCTAATAAAAATTTGCAGCCGGCTTATTTCTTGAGTGTGTGGCACGGTCACATTGGATGACATGATCATTATATACAGTGGAATCACATGGAGAATATGTTTTTTGGACTTCTCCAGAGCATTTCTTAAAATATCTTTCGGAGGGCTGGACTAGTTGGTCGGGTGAGTCTTTCGGGTAGATCGGGGGTCCTCAAATTAATTATAACAAAGCAATACGGCCATTCACAGAACCATCTCAATGGGTTTCACCCACACTTCCATGTCCAATCTGACCGTGTGCCGGCATGGTTTATAAAACAGGTAAGCCATCGCCCAATTAACTCATCCTTAGGACTGCTTTTATGTGTATGTAGTTTGGACACACAAGCTATCTACCCCGTGCCATCAACCGGTTTTTCGAGTCAAGCACTATTTCCTCGACGGGGAGCTAGTGACAATGCGCCTTGCATGGTTACAGTTATTAGCGTCGGAAGCTTTACTCCAGGTATAGATTCATACCCGGATTTGCCTTCCACCAGATACTGCTACGAAACCACGCACTGCTGTCACATCGACTGGTGCCCAGCGGCGAACACCGCAGCAACTGAGCTCCTGGTGTTGGTTTCACCCACACCTCCTCTCCGGAAGCTAGTGGAAGGCGTATTTATCCACGATCATAATAATACGTTTACCGCAGCATTCGACGGTCTTGTATAATATCAGCCGATTGTATTTTGTTCTGCATTAGAACTTAGCTGGTGGCAGCAACGTTCTTATTCTGCGGATGGAAAAACGCCGAACTGGACTTTTGCCGATCTAGGTAGATTGCACTTTTCTTCTTTCCAGTAACATTAGGTAGGGATCTACATACGTTTCTTTGACTTTGGTAAGTAGTTTCTTAGCCATTTTATTTCAGACTCAGTTTTTCCGTTCAATTTGCTATGGTTTGGACTAGTGAGTCGGTAAAGGAAATCCCATTTCTCTCCGAAGGCGCAGAACTCTGCGCTATTAAATTGCGGTCCATTATCCAAGACCACCTCCTTCGGTATTCCATGTCTAGCGAATTGGCACTGTTAATTGTTCACTACGGCCTGCCTAGTGGTCCTAGCAAGTGCACCAATCTCAAAATAGTCATTTAAGTACTGCAACACAAACGGATAATTCTTTCATCCGGTGGTAAAAGTACTAAAATCGACATCCTGGAGCCTGATTTGTTCTTTCGCCTGGTGCATGTCAAGTGTTCTAATCAGTTTGGTATGTTACCGTGTATTTGACTAATCATCTCTGGCCAGAGCATGAGTTCTCATGCTCTTGCCACACAGTTGTTGATTTCCAGGTGCACGCAGTGGAGGAGCTCCAGCATGGAACCCCGCATTGCTTTCGGGACATAGATGCGGTTTCTTTTGAGGATCATTCCTTCCTGAACGATAAGTTCATCGCGCAAATGTGCTTAATGTTAATTCTTTTAGTTACCTTTTTATCTTAGGCCATCCGCTCAATACGGTTTGTTCCAAAATCTTACATAACTTGTCTTTTTTGTGCAACGTCGAAGTTGCTCCAGACCTTCAGAGACAGAAATCAGTTGTGTTACATGAACCAAATCCGCGTCTTGTGTTTCACTTGCATCTGGAAGGTACGCACTCGATAGCCTGAAAGCAATGTGCATTTTGGGGCACAAATGATAGACAACATTCTGATCGTACTTTTGAGGACGAATAATTATCTGCTGGATACGGCTTGGAACTATGTGGAGCGGTTTGCTGGCGATGTATACTAATGGTTTGTGGTCAGTTGTTTTGCGACTAAATGTGTGCCTAACAACGCTTGACCTCCCTGGGTTTGCGACTGCGAAGCTCGATAGGCTTGCTGTTTTACATTGGCACGGCTTAACTGCCGTATTGACTACTGTCACACTTAATCTCGAGTGGAAATGACGGATCAAAGTAGGCAAGGACGGCTGTGTCTGTTATCTATTACTTGATTTTCTAAAAGGTCTCCTGTTCAACGCCCCAGTGTCAATCATTAATCATCGAGTCGGTATCATCACATCAGTCAATCGTGGCAGGAATCGGCTCAGGTAGTTGACCATCCGATTTAGACTGCTAACTGCCTTCCAATCAGTGGGAGAAGGCGTCTCGTTTATGACCCAGATATTCTCTTGATCCAATTTCAAATTTGCCGAACACAGCACATGCCCATGAAATGCCACGGTATTGCATAGCTCGATTTTCTCACGCTTCAGTTTGATGTTTCTTTCACCTCATCTTTGCAGAAATTAGCGCAGCTGATGATCGTGTTCTTCTCGAGTAGCACCAAAAATTAGGACATCATCCGCTACACAGAACACTCCTGGTAAATCCTCCAATGCTTGAAGCTGCGGCTTCTGATAATCTTTCTGGATACTTTCAAACCGAATGGCAAGCGAAGCCATCTATACCTTTTTGGAGACAATTGAATCCATAACGGAGTCAAAATCATCCTTAGGCAAAGCATGTTCTTCCATAATATTATTCGACTTCCTCCATTAGGATAGCAAGTTGAATCCAAGCTTGAGCGCACGCACATGTGCGTGCTGTTCATTGTGGCCAATTGCAAATCAGCTTATGGCATATTACACGAGTGCACGAGTACTCAGACCCACATCGGGTGGTGCAGCGTGTTAGGTCCCTGTGCACGTTCGGCTTTGTGCCCACGCAACACACCACGTGATTCACGCGCGGACCTCAAAACGACGTGTGAGCTATATCATTATAGAACGCGATGCAGCCTAGCACGTGACATCCATGGATGGTTGAGGAAATACTCTACCTCACATCCACTCTTTTATTCGACTTCAAGACGACACACGGACTGGTTGATCGGAGCTTCTCCATCCGCGTTCATAATGCTCACTGTTGTGCGCAACTGCACCAGAGGTGACGTTGGCTCGACAATGAAACTCAGCCGTGATGGGCTACACTGGACCTAGCTGCATCTACGCTAACTGGCATGTTCGTCAACCTCACGTGGTGTGACTGCTTAGCGGTGTCTACGTGTGATCGGGTGTGGGTAATAGTGCCAAGGTGAAATAATCAGTGCGTCCGATGTTTCACTGCACGCTGTCATGGAAAAATGCGGGCTGCACATCAAGCGTTAGATAACGGTGGGTGTGGCCGAATTACCTGTTATCTACTGTTCATCGCCCTTACTGACAATGTGCTCATCCTCAGATACATCGCAAAGCATGATGTACTGTAGGAACCTTTGCGGAAGGGTACCGCGTTAATTTTGCTACGGTTACCCGGTTAGCAACAGCTTGCATTTGCTTATCTGTATGCAGTTGTTAGTATATTGCAGCCATTGACAGTGTGAACGATTACGTTCGTAAAGAACCTTTATGAGTTCGTGTGGAGGAAGAAACGATGCTCTATCTCCATGTTAGCGCGCTCTTCACCAATGTGCGAAAAGCGACACAGAATTCGGTCGGTGCGCGCTACTGACGAGTCCCATTAGAACGAAACGGCCATCTAGCACTTGCCTGTATGTGTGGTGGCTGTCTGCCTGAATCTAACTGCTCCGAATCTTCGCACTAAGCTGAGGTCTGTGGTTCAGAAGCTTGGATTGACTGCAACATGCCCCCGGTGGAATTAGTATTGTAGAGTCTACTACCCGTTTTCCATGGGTACCTTTTGTTAGCGTCACTAAAAATTGGATAGCCTGTGTGTACCGGATGCATCGCGGATCTCAGCGAATGCTGGAGATACAGGCACCACAAAGCAGGCCATATGTGGGGCCGTTGTGCAACTACGTCATACCGCGTACACATATGATGTTATCAGCTGGTTGTCCACGCTGTCTGGAGTCAAGTATCTTCGTAACGATGTAGTAATTAACCTTATGGCGACCCAACCCATGTTATCCGCCATTACTTCAGGAGTGTTGTCACGCTGATCCAGCTTGTGAATTCATGTCAGAGTATACGCTAGGCATCGAAGGACATTTTGGGATTTTAGAGATGCTTTAAGCAATGTATAGGCCTAAGTTACAAAAGTACCTGATTCACCACAACTAATGTTGCTACCTCTGGCATCGTAGATAATCGTATTAGAAACAATCATATAACTGCTCTCTCTTGTTAGTATACAAATGACCTCACGAATCACATCTGTTCGTTGGGTTGCGATGTCCACATATAGTTGGTGAAATGTGACAAGCTGCGAAGTTAACGCACTGCAAATTTCCAACTTCCGCTCTTTATGCATTCTGTGCCACTAAGCTTGGAACTACTAGTTCTGGGTATTCTTTTAGATGCGGTACTTTGTGCACTAGGTTGATTTGCTTTAAACATTTCCCTGTGCTTTTCAGACATTACTTCGATGCTTTGCATAACATCTTTATGTGGAGCACGCAGTTTATCAAACTTCAGATTGCTTCGTTTATCTCCCGAGCATTGTTACCTGACAACGGAACATCAGTTATCTGATTACGTCGAACAACAAAATAGGTCAGGTGGTTGCGCCATTTTCCTTAATCGCAACGTCTGAAGAAACTCGGCAGCCATGTGGATACCTCATATTGGGATACCAAATGCTGAGCGACTCCAATCAGGTATGCTGTCGTGCGAGCACCAACCTGAGCGTCAGTAGCTTGAAACTGAGTCAGCAATACAGCTGTTCAGACTGTCGACGAACTTACTCCTCTCTTCGGGTCTGCCAATTCTTGTACGCCAATCCAAACTAAGTTGTTTGTGCCCCCACTCTAGCCATTTTCAAAAAAAACGCTTGGATATCGTACTGAACTCCCTACATCGTACATGAACACACATTCCTGGATATCTACATCATTTTCACCTTAAAATAGATGTTAGCAATACGAATAGGACGTTTAACACACCATAATTGACACACTGCGGAAAATCTGCAATTTGATTGCAAAATATCAGGAATAAATCGACTGGACAATGTTCAGACCACATTGCGGTAAAACTAATGCAACCAAACTGTGTAAGCCGCGGGCGATTGTCCAAGTCCTTCTCTTGATCATGGGTGTCGTTCACCTCGATCAAAGCGGCGACCCAGTATTTCCTTATCTCTCTATAGCCATTCGCGCAGTTTGTGTGTGGGGGGGCTGACTTATGCTCCTGCACCACTTTTGAAACAGTACAAGCTGTTACGACCACCAAACGCAGCTTAGCTTTATTAGCCTTGTACTGCACGAAACGATCAAAATGAGTGACGAACGACGAGAGAAAGCATCTCCGGTGCAGTGACGATGCGAGTGAACGTCGTTGTCACAGAGATCCTTACCATGCTTGTGTTCGTCGACGGCGAAACCACCCACGAAACTGCCGAAGTCGCCGATGTCAATGAGAGCACGGCAAAAAGCGTCATCAATGCCTACAGGCGAGAAGATACCAATACTCAAAGCAAATGTGGAGCAAACAGCTGGGAGAAGCTGGCTCGCGATGTGCTCCCCGCATTGAAGAGACCGCTGGACGTCATTCCGAGGACACCTTGATGCGGTTGCAGCAGCGACTGACAGATATATATATATATATATATATATATATATATATATATACATATATATATATATACATATATATATATATATATATATATATATATATATATATATATATATATATATATATAGTGCCCGATGCTGAGGCTGATGTTGCATTCTTGATGCTTCTTCACCGCAGTTGGGCTAAATCAACCTACACTTAAACTAGGTCTTTTTAAACTGGCTAAATTTCATTCCACTTTATTTTGGTTTGTTCTGCCTACCTGCATAATGTTCCATTAACTGGCCACGTTGCTTACGCTAATTGCACTTATCTCTGACAATTTTGTTGCTTTTGTAGCATTTTTAACTTGTGGACATTTCTTACTTATCGCGGACTCGCTGCTAACCAACTTACTTCATATGGTAATTTAGGGAATAGTTATGCCACCGTATCTGTATGCATTATTGGATTTATTTTATTTCAGCTTGTCGTTTAAAGTGAATGGCTGCTGTTTGCTATCCCTGGTATGGTTGCGCTTGATGTGCATGTTGACAAGGTGCCTACCTGTCTATTACCCACTACCTCGTTCATACTGGCTCCAGGAGACAGTTGGTCGTTGCTGGAGGGACGGGGTGCACGGTCCTTGTGGCCGTGCTAGGCTCAAAGAGCGGTTCCATGCACTCAGTGTGGAGCGGACTACGGTCCAGCCACCGCCTTGTGTGCGCTTGATTCCCAAGTACAGTGTGCTTGTGTTTGCCTGTGAATGAGTGTAGGCCGGCTCCGTTGATGGAACGTGGCTCCCATCCACATGCCTCCCGGTCTTATTCCTTCGGGTTTACGCTGGATATGGGGTGTGTGGTTGGAGCTGTGGGTAGTGCAGCGCAAGCCACCCATGGTCCCTCTGTAGGCGCAGGCGTCCTGTGGCTTGCCACAGTGACAGGCAAATCTGAAACCGGATGCCGCCAATAATATATATATATATATATATATATATATATATATATATATATATATATATATATATATACAGTTGATTCCGGTTACTCGGACTACATCGGGACCAGACCATTTTGGTTCTATTAAGCGGCTGGTCCGTTTAACCGAAGTTACCCGATGTAACAAGATGGGACGTGCTATACATAACATTAGGAAACTACTATTATGACCTGTATTTGCGGCATATATTTATAGCAAACACACAAAAAAGAACTGCTTTGATAACGGACTTTGTTCACTGAAAAAGAAATTTACAAACAAATTCTTCGTTACGACCTACAAGATATTCAGCATGCGAAGTACAGTTTTATACAAAGGGATTAACGAATTCCATTCAGCGTTTGAAGATCGTGTCCAGTGTGGTTTGACGCATTCTTTTAACAGACTGCATTCGCACAAAATCACCACAAACATGTAACGCAGTTATAGGACTACCTTCATTTCCTTCCTGCATGAAATAGCGGTGCAATGTTTCAATGCATTTCCTTGCATCCTGTTTTGTGACTGGCATCAACACGTTAGGGTTCTCTTCATCACTTCCGTGGTCTTCTGCTGCTGTCGTGTGTTTTGCTGCTATTCGAGGAACCATGGCAGCATCGCATTCTTCATTTCCATCATAGAGTTGAAGTTCGTTGTCGATTGACAAAAATTCTTCGTAATTTTCAACTTGTTTCAGCTCCACATTCTCGCTGTCATTTTCATTTACAATCACCATATCCACATCCATCTCCGAGACAGTGTGCTTAAAGCCACAGTGAGAAAGCAGTTTCGAATTGTCGCACTGCTCATTTTTCGCCAACTTTCGGCCACGAATGTAACGCCTTGCAAAATGTTGACCTTTCCACTGATTTCTCCGGCCGTCGAGGATGAGGTCAGCAAGCCTTTCCTAATTGATTCAAGGATGTAATTCACCAACCTTGACCGACAAAAGGTCTTCAAATTTTTTATGATGCTCATGTCCATTGCCTGTATCAAGATGTGGTCTTGGGAGGCAGCACTTCCATCTGGATATTCTTCAAGAAATCCAAATTGAATGTGCTACACAATTGTCGAGAAGTAATAACACTTTCTGGTCTGGTCCCGATGTAGTCCGAGTAACCGGAATCAGCTATATATATATATATTTCTGCTGGGTGATTTCAACGCGCGGGTTCGGCATGATGCATCGGTGTGAACAGATGTTATCGGTCCGCATGGCATTGGTTCAGCGAATGCGAACGGTGATAGGCTGCTCTCACTGTGTGCCACTCACAGCCTGACGATCACGAACATTCGGTTTGCACTGAGTGATATAGTAACTTGGACGCATCCACGGAGTGGTCACGCTCAACTGCTCGACTGTGTCATCATACATCAGCGTGATATGCGTGAAATGCGCATGACACGTGTACTGCGTGGAGCTGAGTATGGCACTGATCACAAATTGGTGCGGACCAAACTGTAAATATATTTTCGAAGCCTCTTGATACATGCACTCTTGTGAGACGTTTCTCCAAATCGAAAGTTTATCCGTTCATGTTGTCATATTTAAAGTGCTCCAATACTCCGCAATTTTATTTTTACGGATGTGCCTGCACGTATTTCCTCCTATTGATTATATTGTTTTCCTGTCATCCTTCCCGGTTTTTTCCACATAGCTACGTGGTCGGTGGGATGTTACTACGGCAGCTTGCTTTGGCATATGTTCGTTAATTTTGCTTTTAGTTGGCATCTCGCTGCGTGTCGAAATATTTCCCATGCCTCCAAATAGCCGTTTTCGCCCTGTTGACCACGATTTTTCAAGCGACGCTGCTCATTTCTCATCCCTGCACAAAATTCAAGTCCCATATCGTAATACCAACCCCCATCACATTTGTCACGTTTAATCTTCGACTCAAAGTACGTCAACAATAAGATACGCGATCAGGGTGGCATTTGCGCACATTTTTCATCTAACTTCTTATTCTTTTATTGTGGGCTTGCTCGATGTATATTCTATTCTGAGCCCAACGACTGAGTGCTGAAAATGCACCCCTTTTGACAGGTTGTTCTTAAGTTGACCTGACTACTCAAATTTGTTGAACTGAACTGTTGTCTTTCTGTTTCTGCATGTCAGTTTGTTATTCGCGCTTATGTCTGCTTATTGGGTATAAGTCTCGTCTATGCATCACTTTTCCACACTGAATGTGCTACCATCATACATTCCCACCCACGGACCTCGTTTCCCGGGTCGCAGTTGTAACTGTTGCGGTGCGTCCAATGCGATCGCATTTGATTTCACGTTTTTCGCTTTCGAGCAGAAACCGCGACAGCGCTCTGAAACTTCAAGAGGCTTTTGCAAACCATTGGATCCAAAAGGACTACCTTTGTATTACAAGTGGTATTCCAGCTTATTGTGAAGGTACGGTTGAGCTTCCTCTCGTGGAGAAGAAATATGATGGGGTGTTCAAGGTACGTTTTACCACTCATTCCTTACTTGTGGTTTCCATCTCCTAGTCGACCGTTTATGTCTATCTCCCAGCTTGGGATGACCATCGAAGTGCAACGTTTTCCTGCAATTATTAGAACTGTTAGACAAATCCATTTACCTCGGCAGCTGCTTCAGCGCTAATGGTTTAACTTATCAGGTCTGTTTGCGCGTCTCCAAGCCTCCGGTTGCTTTTGTCCATCCTCCATCTCTGGCTTCAAAGCCATCTGAGTCTATCTCTGAAGGGCCGAGTTTACAATGCCGTAGTGAGAGCGGTTCTACTCTATGGCTGCGAGACGTCCTGTTCGCGCAAAAGGTGTTGAGATGCTGTCTGTTTTTGATTACCGCTGCCTACCGAACATTGCTATTGTACCATAGCAACATTACACTTGTAATGAAGATGTTCGACGGAGGATTTTCACATCAGACAGACTTTGTCGGCCACTGAGCAGTATAATTTCTCTGCGCAGACTTCAGTGGCTTGAGCATGTTCTTCGCGTGCCTACTCATCGCTTACCTCGCCGTGCCCTCTTCGATGTCATCGCCATTGCTTATGTGAACATGTTACGCACACTTTAGTCGAGCACACTAGGTCGCTTTAGGGTCTTTAAGAAACCTTCAGATGCCAATTCAACAACAACTGACATTCGCCAGAATTGTCCCAAGTTTATCGCAACCTCCACTCTTTGCGAGAAGTACCATGATGTGCATATTAGTTTGCACTCCAGTGGAGACTTGCTTGAGCTTTCTACCTGACATCAGCAAGATGGGATAGGCAATCCTAAACAAACTCACTAGAGTGACTCCTATTGAGTAGCCCTACAAAATACCTAGCAAATTTTGAGCTTCGACCAAAATCCCTATCAATTACAAAACGACCTGTTATCCCTAGCATACAGTCTATTGTGGTGATCATTTGCTCATGCGTTCTGCAATTCGTTGTTACCTTCATCTCTGTTCCGCCAGCCAAAGCCCATCGGTTAGATGCTTCGCGGTATTTGTCACTATTCCAGTCAACCTCATTCCTCCGTGTTCTATAGGTATCTTCGGATTATGTACGCCACCTGAAACCAGTCGGGTGCCAACAGTTCAACCTCATGCGATCGTGACTGTTTTATGACCTCATTGATCTGTGCACTGGTCCATCTGTCTGATGTATACGAATTTTTCACTTTCACCATAATCCCATATTTTGGTATACGCTATGTTTTCAACATGCCAGGCGTCTCTCCGAGTCTGCTGGTTCTTGAAAACGCTGGACTGGAGATAATTACTCAGCTCACCCATCATGACAACTATATTATTATTGACGGTATGTAGCTGTTGAAATCTGCTCATTTATTCCAGACATCAGAACTGCTTTCGTGGATATGCGACATCTCTAGCACTGGATAAGGGTTTCCCTTGTTCCCATATGTCACGTTCACGGGACAACAATGGGAACTGTTATGCTCCGGTCTGATGGCTTCAAACGTCTTCAGTTATTTGACCGTCTTTGCTTGCGGAGCCTTATAGGCGTCGTATAGCACCGGAGTTTCCGCAACCACGAGGGGAACTGGTGGCTACGTGAAAACGGTATTCATTTATCCTCGTTAGGTAAGGCGATGAGAATCCCTGAGTTTCATTAGGCTGGGTATGTGATATACGTGACCCCTCGCTCTTTACCTATCTGGGCGTTTTCCGTTATCGGGATAGCGCACAACGTTAGGGGAGCACCTGAAGTGGCGGATGTGCGAAATGATCTCTTGGGTGATGCTCATCCGTCTCACCTACGTGACCTACCTAGTTCAAGCAACAGCGATAGCGCATCCTCAGTCTTACTCTGATTGCATCTCTTGTTCAAATTTTGTCTGCTGCTATGTTCTGCATATGCTTAAGCTCATTATGCTCCGCGGCGGTGAAAGTTACTGGAGGGTATGTCACCAGTATATCATCTGGTTTTTCCTAGCAGTGCGTTCTTGCAAGATTTAGGCATTCTTACGCTGCACGTTTGCATGTAGTATCAGCTCTACATCGAATCCCCATTCAATTTTTTTCTTATCCTCCATAACTTAGATCCTTGTGATCGTATATCAGCAACGCATCAGTACTTCTATCATCTTCAATGGTCGTAGTAGTTATTCTCCACTGCGTCGTTCTCATTTTCAGTTGTGCATCGCCCCCCTCAATCGAAGTGCATCACGCGCTCATTGTAAACAACATGCTGTCGAGTTCCACCCAGCTGATTCCGATGCACCACTAAACACGGATACCCGCGCACCGTCGACGCATTATAAGGTTCTGGATCGACGTCATGGCGCTGCTCTGTTACTGTGTTCTACTGTATCCGGTATGTGAATGGCGATCCCATGATTACTAGCTGAACCACATGGTTTCGTGTTGATTTTGTTTATCCACGATTGACGTGACTACAGGTTTGTTGTAAAGTTTATATTTTGACAGTTATCTTCCTGGATTGATTGCTTACCGGTTTTGTGAGGCATGTTCGGTAACGTCCAAATGCCGATTCCAAACCTTAACATACATATTATCTCTACACTTTCAACCTGGTTTGGCACTGTGTAACGTTTAGCTAATTGAAAGGAAGCATCGACTAACTTCTAGTTCTCGCCTCTGAACTATGCGTCCCAACTAACTGTCATGGAGAACGTAACTCGATAATGATCTTACTTGTTCTCTAGTCTCAACGCTGAAATGTTGGTTCTAAAATTTGGTGATTTGCTCATCATTCATCGTTGAGTGAATCCATTTCATGTTTATAAACAGCCATTCATCTAATCTACAACTGGCGTCTACAAAATGGTCCTTACGTCGCTTCACGTTTGACGCAGTTCTCGGCGTAAGGTCTTGAACTTTGACCCTGAGATCTGTGTGAGTAGCATCAACCCGTTATCTCCCACCGTCTCTTCCCTACAATGAATTCAACCTGATAGTGGCATCCTTTCTTGTCCAAGTGCAATTAACCTTACTTAGTCGCGAGCACAATTTGCCCATTAAAGCTGCTACGTTTCGGTCCGTTCACCAGCTGTCGGTATTTCGCGTTTCGTAGTCGTTTGTTGACCGAGAGTTCCACTCGGTCCACGCGTATGTCGATAAACCTCAGCCTCCTTATTATAGCGACCCGCTGCAACGAGACTGGACATTAACGTGGTGCGACGGTTTGCTTACCTACTTGACCCACTGAGCTTGACTGGCTGGGGCCCACGAGCTCCTTGAGAGCTACTCCTATCAGGTTGGTCAGTGGTGAGAGGTCAGACAAACTCAGTCTCCTGGTCCTCCAGGCTGGGGGTTTGAAATGGGATGGCGTCCATTTCTGTAAAACTTAATCATTGCCACCTCCCCGCTGCCTTGCGGTCAGGTTTTTGAGCCAAAGGCTTTGGTTGAAGACCCTAATCGTCCTCGTGTCTATGTCTGAGAGCTCTGACAGTTTCTCAACCCACATGCAACCATGAAAATTTCATCGAACCTTAACTTCATACTGCATCGGCTGTCGCGCAGATTATCAAGGGTCGCCTTATCCCCTGCATTTAGCAGGGCAGATAAGTGAAAACATGCTACTGCTGGTACCTCCCTTCTTTCCTTTCCACCTGTTTCTCGTACTCCCCTCCCAACCCCCATTACTAACCTTCTTTTTATAATTCCCAGCTTAATTGGCTGCAGCCGCAATGCCACTGTAGTTCTACCATCTGTAACTATCTTCCCGCATCACTTACTGAACACCAATCGCCAACAACTCCTTATAAGGCCGTACTGTCCTGTTTCCATGGCGACGTTCATCATTCGCACTCTAAGACAAATACGTCAATAGGGTGCACTCGCACACATATTGGACTCACTGGGTGTTGACTTGTGTTTGTGTCCGAAACTAGGATCAACGATCCTCATAGGGTTGTTGAATTAACTGCGACCGGCTTGTCCTCTCGCTATTAATAAATAAATAAATTTCTTATTTTTGGCAGTGCGAGGCACACCTGTATATCATGATCATAGTAATGCAAACAGTATTGATAGATACGATGGATAGATACAAAAATGTTAGAAAATTACCAGTAATGTACTCGATCTATGTGCGTATGTGTGAGTAGGTATGCATTTAGGTATCCGTATTTCCAGAATATGTTAATTTGGCGCTGCGTTTGGTGTTGTGTTCAGCCCGATCGTCGATTCGAATTAACTCTTCGTCTTGGAGGACTGATGTCTATGGAGTGTGGGACATGATCCCGATAAGCGAAGGGCAGGTATTTTATTTAATGGCATCTCACATCCGCCACGTCGCAGTGTTGTTAAACAGACTTATGTGGCTTTTACTAGAGAGAATGCTTGCCAAGCGTTAACCCACCACGTTCCGGAACACTGCCGCGGAACTATTCTCTGGAACGGGTTTAACCCGAACCACCCAACACGTGAATCAGGATAACCAACCGACGGTGCGCCAATCGCCTGCTTCTGTTCGCTGCGGCTTTGGCGATAAGGCGGCTGAAACCCTCTCTGTGTTGACAGATTGAGTCCGTCGCCAGTCTCGCCATCTTGGTGAGGCTGGTGGCCACATCCCTCTAAGCGAACTGCAGACCAGCATCAGATGAACTTTGACGGTTTTCCATTATCCAATGAGGTTACGCGAATATTTACATAGCACCTAAAGCATACCGGTCAGATGGTAGTAGACGGTTGTCCTAACGCACTCATGTAGTTCCATGTGATCTATGCACGCATCCGGAGACTTTCAAGCGGTAACCATTGACCCATCTGGGGTGGGCATCCTTCTCGACTCCAAGGTTGAGTCATCGTTGGATGACTGGATTCCCGTGGACAGCGGTTTGGCGACATCAACTAAGGTTGATTCACGATGGAGCACTGACGCTGTTTGTGATTTCCGCTTATGCCCCCCACCGACTACAGTTCTGATGTTGCCAACGATACCTTCTAACGTGAATTGAACACGCTAGCATGCAGTGCTCCCAGTTCGGATATGAATGCGCAACTAGGTCGTCTGAACTCTTCAGAGGCTCTGCTTGGTACTCATTATGCACTGGACTTCGACTGAACGGAAAACGGCGAGCTTTTGTTGCAACTGTGAGCGGAGCACCGGCTGTTTCTTAGTAGCACAGCTTTTAGGCACAGTGGACGCCGAAGTGCCACTTGGCATCCACCTATAGCTGGCAAGAGATGGACCCAAATAGATCACATTACCCTAAGTCATTGGTGGCCTGGTTCTATCCTGCATTGCTTCTCGTTCTGGAGTACTTGCGTCAGCTCTCCTCACTCATCGGTACAGCGGCGTGTTCGCGAACTTCATCGGGAGGCGTACTAGCGCCTCTTTTGATTGATAACTGAGAAATTCTCGGTCCTCGGTCAGACAAGCCTACCAAGATGTCTCGCGTACCACATTTTCGCTCTCTTGCCATAATGACACTGATCTTTAATGGAATAGGCTCCGGCCGTCATATACCATGCAGTTGCCGCTGCGTGCGGCACTATCAATCGTCAACGCACCAGTCACTGGATATTTGAGAGGTCAATGAATCTGTTGGAATACATAAGGAAACTCCCAGCTGGCTTTGAGCACAATGTGACCAGACAGACTATTACGCGCGAACTAAAGCGGAGGCTGCGTGCTGTCAAGGTAGCCTGATGAACCAGTCGGGTTCACGAACTGTAGGAAGCAATAGCAATAGGCAATGTTGCAAGATCTTTCAACTGATCCGCACCACTGACCCTAGAAAACCGGGCGCCAGTGAGACAATCAGAGACAGCGTAGGTGCCTTGATTCGCACTGAGGAGCGCCGTATGGCTCGTTGGGCGGAACACTTTCAAAATCAGTTCACTTGGCCCCTTGCTTCCGTAACTCTTCCTGCTCATCTGCCGTTGGCTGAGCCATGGACGGTTAGTTCAGAGGCCCCATCGGAGGCTAAGGTCCGAAACGCGATCACAGCCCTAAATCGTTTTCATGCTGCTGGCGCGGATTCCCTCCCACCTGCATTATTTAAGAATGGAGGTGAGGTCCTCTACAAAGCACTGACTTTCCTGTTCGGACATGCCTGGAAGGAAGATAGCGTCCCGGTTAACTGGAGCGCATCGATTATAGTGACGATGTACAAAAAGGGCATCCGCAGTGAGGGTGCTAACCACATGGGTATTAGCCTAACGCCAGTTGTGACAAAATTACTGGTCTCGATTCTCGTTCTTCGCCTCACTGCGGAATGGGAATCTCGGATTAGGGAAGAGCAGGCAGGTTTCTAGCCAGGACTTGGGTGTATAGACCGCATATTCACTTTGCAAATTCACACGTACAACAGACCGACAGTAACTGTGTTCCTCGACTTTGAATGTACGTTCGACTCAGTCGATCGATCTATTTTGTCCGAGATGATTGTGCGGATAGGCGTTCCGATGAAATGTATGGACATTTTACATGCTCTGTAATCGAACACCGCAGGCCTCGTCAGTGTCTACGGTGACTTATCAGATCTCTTTTCGACAATAAGTCGCTTTCGTCTGGGTGGCCGAATTCTTGTATTTTTGTTCAACTTCATCGTGTATTCCATCATGGAGTGTTCCCTTGCGGAATCTTACTATGCAGGCTTTTTGAGCTGTTGCGTGGTGAAATGCTAGTGGAACTTGATTATGCAGACGATGTTGTCATGCTTTTTAACGATCTTTGGACGACTTAATCAACCTTGGATAACCCCTATAGTGATCCCATTATTTGGTATGCACTTTGCGCCCTTAAAGTACGACTAGCCACTTGCTTGTTCCTTGATCCTGGAATGCGAGGAACTCAAGACGGTCGAACAATTCACTTACATTGACAACACATCGCGGCTGAAGTAATTTCACGTATTGCAAAATTTCGAACTGCTTTCTTGAATCTGCGACATCTGTGGCTACAGAAGGTGGTTTCCTACAGTCTGAAAAACCCTGTTCGCATGGCCACAGTGTGTGCCGTCCTACTATATGGAAGTGAGACTTGGACCCTTCGGTCTTAAGACCCGCGGCGCCTTCAAGTCTTTGATCTTTGTTTTCTGCGAAACATTGCTGGTGTCAAATGGCACCAGCGTGTCCACAACGATGATGTGCTAGGCGAGTGCCAGGCATTTATGATCATGCTAGTTCATTAGAACAACAAATAGCACTAAATAAGTTGCGTTGGCTTAGGCATGTACTACCTGATGGTGCTAGTGGTACTACGTGGTGTCGTATTCTAGTCGAACTGCCTGTTTTAAGTGTGATCGGTGTTGCGTTACCTGCGGGGTAATGGTGGATTATGACGCGGGGTGGTGAAAGCCGCAAGGAAGCTGTCTCGCTGATGCCGCCTCGCCTTTGCATGAAAACCAGTTGTTTGTAATGGCAAGTTGTTGACAAGGTATAGGCGCATTGCTTCCGAATGTTTGCTTAGAGCATTAAGGTTTTACGCTATGTCCTCTTTCTCCTGTCATTCTTGCTTCTGTAGGCTACCATGGTTGTACGGCAGAGAAATATCATTTCAAATAGCTGCTCTACTGTTGTTGTTGTTGTTGTTGTTGTTGTTGTTGTTGTTGTTGTTGTTGTTGTTGTTGTTGTTGTTGTTGTTGTTGTTGTTGTTGTTGTTGATGATTCTGCTGCTGCTGTCCTTGTAGCGATTCCGCCGCACCGTTCTACTTGTTATTATTAGTACTAGGTTGCATTCTGTTTATCACCTGGACTCTGCTTTTTCTCCATTTTTCACACACTCAGGCGTCAAGCACCAGATTCGCGTTCATTTATCCATGGGCTTGCACACTCCTGTACTTGGTGATCACAAGTACTCGCACGCCACACATATGGCACCACAACGCCTGTCTGCTCCTCTTCGTAACAGCCTGCAGATCAGACAGTCAAAGGCCCGTCACCTGCTGCTGCACTTGCATGCCTCTCGAATGCAAGTTGTGCCCACCGCAGAGTGGACACCTGGATTCTTCGACTTCGTGCACCCATCATTTCCACCTGGTCGACGTGTTACTAAGCCCGAATTTGATGTTGTTGTGCCTCCACCATACCATTTCCGAGAAAACATGAGACGCATTGGTTTGAAACTGCCTCGTTTTCTATCTCGAGTGCTCATTTGATATGCTACTTTGCGCGCAAAGTGCGTTCATAAAATTTTTAATTTGTATAAAGATCCTCTTGAATTTGTCATGTTTGATTGTCATTCGATTCTTACCTCCCCGTTCTATTTGGTGACGACCATTACTGCGTCATCGCCTCCATTAACGGTGCCCGTGAGCAAGTCTTCATTGAATCCATTCGCTTTTGTTAATATCAACTTATTAATCCGAATTTTAGTCCATTAGCACTCACTTAATCACTTCCCTACCAATTTTATCATCCTCGATTCGCACTCTGTTCGTGGCACTTCCGCTTCCCATGACACTTACTGGGTAATATGAGTTTACTGCCGTATTCCCACTGTCTCGCGATCAGCACTTGAGCCAGAGAACCTGCACAAGAACTATAGCCGTTCTATTGTAAGGCTCGGATGTCCTGGCACACCGTTCCGGATTTCACGCAGCTTCAATGGCGTCATCTCCTCTGCTGTATGCAGCAGAGCGGATAAATGAAAACGAGTGGTTTCCAACGTATCTTTAAGTAACCTGTCGTCTTGTCTTTCCAGTCAGCAGCGGCACCCTTTTATCTGTACTGGGTTTTTTAATAATCAGGTCCAGAGCTAGAACCGGCTACACTCAGGTGATGGCGTACCCCGGTACGCTAAATTTTTAACTGTCCAATGGCTCAAATTACTTTGCCAGTAGGGGTGAGATGGGACACAGAGGCGCGACATGTGTTTCTACGATCGCAGAGCACACCAAGCCGTTCGGCTGTGAGAAGTGAACGTTAGCAAACACCACAGCCGCAGTCGATCTGTCATGCGCGGATCGCAGGGCAAGACCAAGGGAACGCACGCCGTTCGGTAGTGAGAACTGAACGTTAGCCAGACACCACAGCCCCACTGAACGTGTCATGCTTCAATCGATCGGTAGTCGGACTTCACCAAGGTGAAAAACCAGCAAATGGGTCCTCTGCGAATTGGTTTGTGGGTAGCTATGCTAGCAACTGAGAAAAACAGTCTGGCCGTATGTGATGATCGGTCGATGGGCACTGTATTGCTATCGCCAAAAAGGATAGTATCGCCTCATGACTGGCTTCCAATAAACCCGCAAGCTTTTATTAGGCTGCTAAAGGGAATCATACTGTTGGGAGCACATTGTAAGGTTACAGCGTTTTTCGCTTTACCGTTTCGATCTCGTGTGTGTTACAGCTGAAAATTCACCTTCCATGGATGCATAGAAGCGAATTTTTGACTTGACGTGACAATGCTCTTAGATTTCAGACTGTCCCGACGCACTGGTGGCAGCATTAGACAACACATCAATTTAATCATGAATGCAACTATTGCCCTCACAGTCAGACATTTGCTAGTTGTACAAATTGAGCAGACCTATGTTGGTGTTGCTCGTGTACAAGGGAGAATGTACATTTATTCATTTCTTTATTTACATGAAATGTTTGTGAATATCAACGAATTAGTTGTTTGCAGCATCAAACAAACGGACTGCCTCGCACCGTCACAGATGAAGTGGCAGCTTTCTCGGTTGCGCAAGTGATATGCAGTAACAGTCATCTCATCATCCGACAACTTGCACAACATTGCGAAATCACACCGTATTTTGTGCATCGGATATTGAAGGGAACAAATTTCCGGCGGTACAGTGCACTGCAGGTGCAAGTGTTGAACGCATGCGATTTACAGAAGCGCCTAGAATCCGCCCGTTTGTTGTTGAACAGTCTGGAGGTGCATTCCATTTTGTTCACCGATGAAACTGTGTTCCCTCTGCAACATGTTTGTGCAACAATTAACCCACGGTAATGTTGCGCCTCACATGTGCAACAGCGCGAAGCTCATGGCCTGCGCTGGGTTGCTTAGTCGAAAAATCATTAGGCCCTTTTTCTTTTCCAGGAGTGTTTCTTGTAGGTTGTTGTTTAACAGTAGCAGTGCCTGACATTTCTTACCACCTTTGCCAACACCATCCGGCGAATGCTCCTCTGTAACTAAAACGACGGAGGGAACTTCGAGCATCTAATTGGTTGATGTTTACAGACATTTCACACCTTTTATGTAAACATAATTAAAGAGATGAATAAATGCATATTCTCCCTTGTACACGAGCAACACCAATATAGGTCTGCTCAATTTGTACAACTAGCAAATGTCTGACTGTGAGGGCAATAGTTGCATTCATGATTAAATTGATATGTTGTCTAATGCTGCCACCAGTGCGTCGGGACAGTCTGAAATCTAAGAGCATTGTCACGTCAAGTCAAAAATTCGCTTCTATGCATCCATGGAAGGTGAATTTTCAGCTGTAACACACACGAGATCGAAACGGTAAAGCGAAAAACGCTGTAACCTTACAATGTGCTCCCAACAGTATGATTCCCTTTAGCAGCCTAATAAAAGCTTGCGGGTTTATTGGAAGCCAGTCATGAGGCGATACTATCCTTTTTGGCGATAGCAATACAGTGCCCATCGACCGATCAACATACGGCCAGATTGTTTTTCTCAGTTGCTAGCATAGCTACCCACAAACCATTTCGCAGAGGACCCATTTGCTGGTTTTTCACCTTGGTGAAGTCCGACTACCGATCGATTGAAGCATGACACGTTCAGTGGGGCTGTGGTGTCTGGCTAACGTTCAGTTCTCACTTGCCCTGCGATCCGCGCATGACAGATCGACTGCGGCTGTGGTGTTTGCTAACGTTCACTTCTCACAGCCGGACGGCGTGTGTTCCCTTGGTCTGCCATACCCTCGATGTGCCCTGTGATAGTACAAACATATTTCGCGCCTCTGTGTCCCATCTCACCCCTACTGGCAAAGCTGTTTGTGCCATTAGACAGTTAGCAATTCAACGTGCCATTGTACGTCAGAACCTGGCTGCAGCCGCTCTTAGCTCGGACCTGATTAATATAACACCCTGTAGATACCAGCGTAATGGTCGGCACGTGCAGTACGGAGGACATTCAGCCACTTGTCTCATGTCACTGTGCTAGTTTCTTCTCAGGAAAACCCTCGTGTTTGATTAGGTCGAGTTCGATGTTCCTGCTCTAAAGCAAACACGTGAACAGGCTGCATTTAAGCACACACCAGAATCCATTGGCGCTTTTTTATACCGCATATTTGAGACTAGCGTTAATGTCCCGCACGATTAGCGAACTATATTCACTCCCTGTTGGTTGCACGCAGCGTCCAATACTCCCGAACTAAACCCTCACGAACGCCACTTGCTTGACACCTCCAACTAAGGCGTGTATATGGAGTTGCACTAGGCGCTTCTGGTTCCTGATGGCTACAAGCGCCCCAATCATCTGTATTTATGATGCTGTCGAAGATATCCTCTTCACGAAACTACCAATATACTCTCTAACGCGAATAACTCGCTGATCCTTTTGCTTGCCTGCGCTGTGAATGCGCAAGTGGGTTTGCTCCATGTTTCTCATGAATTTAAATAAGGGAACGGGTGGCCGTTATTCCAAACTTACGGTTCGTGGTTAGAGCTTACTATTCCTAAGCGCCGGTGATCGGCGTTTTAAAATCAGCACTGCCTTCGGAAACAGTGAACACCTGCAGGCCACTTGGAGCTCTAGGCATGTGGCTGGCAGTGGACCGAGATAGATCACCTCACTTTGAGCTTCCTCTCGATGATTCTGCTAGCGTTCAGAAGAGTCCCCGCTTCAGGGGGCATAACGCGACCAGACACTTATAAATGACATTTGGGACGCAGTGTACTAGGTTACACAGGAGGCTGATGAACTCAACATGCAACCAATTAGGCGGTTTGAGCGGCCCTTACTCATGCGCTTCCAGCTAATCCGTATTGTGTTTGCCACGAATTTGTGTATCAGGGTAGTAACTAGGGGTAGGACTGGTAATTTATCTTACACTTGGGAGTTCCGTGTGACTCATTGGACACTTCGCTTTTAGGAGGAGTCTAATTAATCACATAACTCTGAGTCTCTTCATTCTCTCTGGGCCTAGATTGAAACTTGACCAGTTACCTTAGGTGTTCCATCTACAGCCACGGTTCGAAAGGCAACCAAAACGTTCCAATGTTGCCACGTCAACAGTATGTGATGGGATGCTCGGAAGTGGTCGAACTTGGTAAAGGTTATCTAGCATGTGTGAAGCGCAGTAACTTCCTGTATTTGTGAGGTGATGCACTTACTAGGGCCGTTAGTTTATTAAGTCTACTGTACTTACCACAGTGGAGAGGAGTAAGAGTGGATTATCCCGAGTTCGTGCATGTTCTTTGGACAGTCTATTCAGGGTTGGTTGTGCCGTCGCGACATGGTCGAAAAGCAAGACGATATCGTCCGCCTAATCTAGGTCAACTAACCTTACACCATGCAGCACTACAACCCTTACATCGTGGGTTTTCCCAAGGGAACACTCAATGGTAGAATCCACGACGAACTTGAACAAAATGGGGTAATCGGACAACCCTGACGAACGCCACTTGTGGTCGGAAAGCTATCCGATTGGACACTGTAGATCCTGACGCGGCCTGTAGTGTTCGAGTACAGAGCACGAAGGATGTTCACATATTTCGTGGAAACACCTTTCCGCGCAAGTATTTCAAACCGAATCGATTAGTCGACTGAATCGAACGCACTCTTGAAATCGAGGAACACAGGTATTGTTGGTCGGCGGTATGCGTGGCGCTGCTCTAGCACTTGCCGCAAAGTGAATGTATGGTCTGTACAGCCACGTCCTGGGCGGAAACCGGCCTGCTTTTCCCTAATCCCAGATTCCCGTTCCGCATTGAGGCGATGAACGTGAATCGATGCCAGTAATTTTGTTTCAACTGGCGTTAGGCTAATACCCTGTGGTTCGCACAGTCTGTGCGACTGCTCTTCTTGTATATTGCCACTATAATCGATTCATTCCAATCAGCCGGGACACTCTCCTCCTTCCAGATACGTTCGAATAGAACGTGTCCTTGACAACATTAGAACTGCAGTCAGTGGGAGCATAAACGGAAATCACAAATAAACAGCGTTTTGTATTACTTC